AATAATTTATGTTTTTAGATATTAACACATCTGACACAAAATTTTATATTTTAAAAAATACTAACCAAACACAAACTTACATTTTTAGGTATCATTTAAACCAAATATCGTTACAAATGCTAAACTTAAAACATTTGTTTTTTATTACATTTGTGTAAAATATATTGTATTTTAAAAGTTCTTCTTTGAAAATATTATTGTTTTATGTATTTGCATATTATATATATCATATAAGACTGTAATATGTGATATATTAGTAAATTTATATAACAAAAATTCAATTAAATTTTTGCATACATTTGTTAGCAACAAAAATGTGATTTATTCAATTGAATTATTGTATAAATATATTCACGTGTATATACAGTATAATATAAAATATATTATATGAATATATATGAGACAATAAAAGTTTTGTAATAGATTTTTGTGTTTTAATGTATTATAAGCTGAGACCTGAGTTTAGGTTTTGCCTGAATAAACAATTTGTGGAAACGTGTAGTGAATGGCATTTAATATATTGAAGAGTTTGCATATTATACGACACTATTGAGTATCAATGGGAAACACTTTATGGCACATCAGTGTTGCCTCAGATCGCCATTTACTGCAAAAGCCATCACTGAATACCTCCAGTGTTTCAATCATTTCTATCAAGAAAATAGACATTTAATAAATCATATTATATATCAATTTCATTCATCAATGATTTAATCAATTTTATATGATTTTCTCTTTACTTTTATTTTGGTGATACAGTATTTATGATAACATTTATAACCTAAGGATTTGATTGCTTTATGTAACTCATGTACAATATATACTATATATAGATTACACACCAATAACTCTAATGATAATTATATGGCTTAACATAATTAGTAGAAATCCTTTAAGCATTTAAGTTTCAAAACCATATAAATTAAGCCAAAACTTTGGTTTCAACTTTTAAATTAATTTAATTGTAATTTAAGAGTACAAAAACATAACATTTGCATTGTTAATAGTATTTCAAGCTATTTGTTTATATAACATCACAAATTATTTATATAAATTGAAGCCAATAAACTTAAATATTTAGCTTATATAATACAAATGTATGAGTTTATAATGAACTGTTTTTGCACATTATATAATACAAAATTATAATATACAGTAATCGCATGTTTATGACAATAAATATCAACTCAAATCATTTAAAGATAGACTTTGATCCAAAAATTAGTTTTATTTTTATCAAATAAATCAATAAGAAATCATATCTGCAAATGACATCATATTAATGCAAAGCACATGAGTTCACTAAATAAATCATTTTTAAGACATTTATTTGTAAGGGTTTGTCTCAATTATAACTATTGAAATATGTGTCCGTCATTGGGGTTTGTATGCCATAAGTATCTAATTGGATGTTTGCTTACATCATATGACATGTCTTTCCTTTATCTAAATGTCTTTTCCAATCTTGAGCTCTAATTTTAAACCTAAAGAGTATTAAATGAAAGAGTGATAACAAACAACCCTATAATAGTCAACAGTTATTTTAAATACTCAAATGATATACAGACATACAGTATATATTGTGTATATATTATATACTGTAGTTAATGCAAGGGTTGGATATATTATTTATAACTGTAATGACTTTTTAGCTGATATACAGACTGTATATTACAGACAGAGATTTTCATTTATTAATTAAAATAGACTTTTCAATCAATTTATATTAACAATATTTATTTTACAATATTAAAACAATTATTTTTATTAATCATTTAAAATTTATTACTCATATTAATAGTGTATAAGTTATAACTTATACTGTAAATATAAATACATTAATGATTGTCATATATAATATATACTATATATTATATACCGTATAAAATTTAATTTCAAATATATTTATGCAATATATGATATTATTGTATATTTGTATAAAATATTAAAGAAAAACATTATGGAAAATAATAGTATATTATAAAAATTATTTTACTAATTTAAATGCATTTTTATTAAAATCGCAAGTATTTTATTACAAAAATTATAATTATTGACAATTAATATTATAATACAAGTTTTGTACTTAGATTTTAGCATTATTTGTTTATTTTAAATTTACAATTTTTGGTTATTATGTAAATATAAGTCTATATTTTACAAAAGCTTATTTGTTATAATAAAGTATTAATATAAAAATATTAATTATAATTTATTTCTTTTATCATTAAGCATTTTTAAAATAAAACTTAATATAAATAATATTTTGTTATCAAAAATTATAATTTTATTATTATTGATATATTAATCATAAAATTATAATTATTACTAAATTATATTTAATTTGAAATATAAATATTATAGTAATAATAAAATTGATGAAACATTAGTGAAGAACATATGTTACACATGTGGACAGGTGTAGATTAATTGCAAATGTTATCACAAATTTAATAAATATTTTGAAACAAACTTTAATATTAAAGCTAAACAAATTAGTGTATCATTTGTGTTGCATAACTCATATACCATAAGATTATTACAAATGATAATCTGTTTTAATTTTAGATATAAGACTCTGCCTTTTGGTTATGCAGTCGTGTGTATAATGTTTACCAAAGACCATGAGATTAACAGCACTGGGAGTTCACTGAATGCATGAGAAGATGCTTTCGATAAAAAAGATGGAATAAAGAGAGAGAGAGAGAGAGAGAGAGAGAGAGAGAGAGAGAGAGAGAGAGAGAGAGTTTCAACAATATTTATTGCAAATCCTTGTCCTCGCAATTTCCCAGTGTTGTACATCTGGTCTCCAAAATGCATAATTGGCTGCCATTTGTTGTTCAAAATATATATAATATTAATAAAGAGTACATAAATATATTAACACTGATCTTAATGCCATTCATCACAAAGAAAAAAATATTCATTTATTAGTTAAGTAATTGCAAAATATCTCATATATTTTATTTTAAAAACTATTAAAAGTATTAACAACAAATTTCTTTTATTTATTTGGCACTATAATGTTTGTATCATACTATTTGGTAATATAATAAATTATTAAAATTAATATTATATACAATTTACAATACTGATAATTATGTAAGATATGACTCTTAATATATACTTTTTATATTTTTAATATACAGTACAGTATAGCATAATACATGCAATTTTAAGTAATTTCAATGTAATTATTTTGCTTAAATTGTTAAATTATCATATACTGTATTAATACTGTACTGTCATATAATTTAAGTCAAATTTTAATTTTAAATAAACATCTGGCGATGTTTAGGTCCTTTTAAAAAATTAGTATTAATTAGTATCGATTGCATAAATTAATAAACCACACCATCATTATACTGGATATAATAAAGCAAATGCTAGTTTCATAACTCAAATAATTTTGTTAACCTAATAAAATTTGTTTATTAATTATTTACTAAAATTAAAATTTTTACTTTAAATTCTTTCAATAACATGAAATTTATTTATTTGAATTAAAATATTTTATGAAACAATAAATTATAAAATTTTATTTAGGATTAAGTTATTATCTTTTTTGTATGTTAAGCTTTATTGTAAATTATATTAAAAATTAGATATTATTTTTAGATAAATTATTAAAATACATCAATTTAGCATACTTTAGATAAATGCAATTAAAAGTAAAAATTCATACAACTATATACAGTACATGTATACTTAATAAACAAAAATAATATTAATTTTTAATTAAATACAATCGGAGTAAAACTTAAATACTTTAAACAAATATTGAGTGATTCATAGATTATGTTTTGATAAATAACAGTATTTATTAAACAAAAATCTTGGTCTTTACTTTTTTTCAACGACTAATCAATATAACTGTATTACACTTCAATTTAAGGTAAGTAGTAATTTAGTTATTATGTTAATAAACTAATATAAATTAAGCATTTATTATAAATAAAAATAAATGAGCTAGGTAAATTTATATATATAATAATTAACCAACTGTTATGTATGATATGTAATGTAATATAATATAATATTATATTATTGTATAATAGACTAAAATTTTATAATATATTATTTTTAAATTGATGTTTTAAAAGTTACAAACATTTGACTAACAAATGTAACTGAAAAATAGTAATATTATTTTATATGATTATTATACTGTAGAGTATATACTCTACGATTATATGCTGTTCCCAAACGAGTCTCACTTTCTTTTGCAACGATTTAGTATCGGATTAAAGCGTTTTTGGGCCAAATTGGATGCCATGCCATGCAATGCATAGCAACGTTTGAATTGTTTGAAAGACATGAGCATTAAATAGGAAAACCAGCGATCGATTGCCAGTTCAGTGGTGTCGGCGCTCAACAAAACTTGCAGTTGTTTTGGCGGACAATAACAAGCACTGAGATATCAGAGCACACATAGTGTTCAGTCTGTTAGTTGCTGTTTATCTGTCTCTCTGAGTGTTCACTATTGCATACCATCTCATTAACACTAACTTTGTGTCACTTTTTCACCAATTTTTTTCTATTTAAGAGTTTTGGCTAAAAGTTTTCCGTTAGATCATTGCTTCTCATAGTATAATATGATAACAGTGTAGCAGTTATTGACAAACCAAACAATTAACTTCTATAAACTATAACTCAATCAAGTATTTTCGTGTATATATATAAACAAAAAGTAATTCTTAAAATAAAAATACTATATTAATTATATTGTGTGAAAAAAGTTATTAAATAATTATATAAATATTACAATTAATTTATGATAAAAACATAAAAATTTTTGTATTGTAATAATAATAATAATAACAAATTGGTTAATCAATTTATTCAACAATACGTCGAACCGTTTATTTTAATATAAACTGTATTACAATATTTGAAGACTTTTCTAAATATGTTTGAAATGTTTGAAAACTCAATACTTTATTACAAAAAGCAATGTTAACACAATTGAATAAATGAAATGAGAAAAAATCTGAACCATTGTATTATTTAATACAAAACTATATTGAATTTCGACAAAAAAGCAAAGAAAACATTTTCATTGTTTATCAAAGAAACATAAAAAGTGAAGACAAAAAAATAGCAATAGTTTTGGTCGTCGTTTAAGTTGTTGTTTGTCGACCACTACTCTCTGCAAACACTAAAACACGATTTAATGTCACACTTTTGAATGAGACGTCGATATGTTCAACAATGGGTCGCAATTGTTGTTGTATTAATGGATTTTGGCTTAAAGGCAGCTCCAAAGCCAACCCGCATCCCAGTGCCGGCTATAGAGATCAGTGTTGTGCACATCATCTGCCGGTCAGTCAGAGTTGGTCTCGAAAGACATCCCATATCAACACTGGTCATAGCTTTTGCCAAATAAGACGATTTGCTAATTGCAATAATAGTCATAAAAACGAAAAAATTAATTACTATTTTCAAAATGACAACAAAACTAATGACAAAAATATCAATTGTCATAAAAATAAATGCTTTCAATTGAGAAAAGAGTGTTTACTTTACTTAATACTGTTTTGCGTGTCTTTTATGTGTTTTGTTAACAGTTTTAGCGGTGACTTTGTTCACGACGACATTGTGGCCATCAATACCAACGCTGATGTATTGGGAAACACATCTATCTATCAGATATTCTTTCACGACTTTTGGGGCAAACCTATGGCTCATTCGGGTATGAATTCAAACAAATTTCATTAAGAAATTATTATATATTTTATTTTTGTTGATAGATTCGCACAAAAGCTATCGACCACTAACTATACTGACATTTCGGTAAGTTATTTAATATTTTATTTTTATTAATTTAAAATTATTTAGATTCGTTCAAAATAAAAAATTAATCAATTTTAGTTTATGTAAACATTATATAATATCGTATACAATCTATAAATTATATATATATATAGTACATACTGTATATAAATTTATATAACTTATATTAATATTTTATTGTATATTAATAGTATATTTACTAGTATATACACACACATAGTCTATATAAATTACTAATACTAGTTTAATCGGATTAAATTTGACTTTTATTACTGTTAAAGTGGGAATTAAATTTTGTTTGAATAATTTAAAGTAATATACTGTATAATTATACTGTATATAAATACTTAATTTGATATAAAGTAAAATTTTTTAATAATTTAACATATTTATTAGATATTATAATAGCAATGTGGTTAAAAAAGACAACAATTTTACTTAATTAAAAGTCATAATATTTAAAGCACTAAAATAATTACTTTGATATTTATTAATTAAAAATAAATTATATAATTTTTATATTTATTAATTACATAAATATAACTTACAATAAAAATTAATTACTATATGATTATAAGAAAATTTTTAGTAAATGATATCTAAATTTTGCAATAATAATAATAATTACAAACTTTTATCACTATTAGCAGACAATATGAAAAAAGATAGTTTAAAGAAAATGATTACTTCTTTTTTGAACATAAAATATGGTATTATTGTGAGACATGAGTTATGAGAGATAATATTTAGTAAAATTAATGAAAGTCTTATAGAGTTTGTCTATTAATAATACACGACTCTTAGTATAGGTTCAGTAGTTATAATAACTGTAATAAACATATAAATATAGAAAAAAAATATTTCTAAAATTAAAATTTGCTAAATACTCAATTTATTTAGTGAATATTTTAATATCTAATAACGATATAAATAGTATAAAAATTGTATATACAGTATATGTGTGTAATAATGTATAATTCTGAAAATAAATAAATAAAATGTATTATATTTAGAACTTTATTAAATAAAAAGATTCTGATATTTAAAAGAAAATATTAGATATTATACTCATAGTGTTTCGTATTTAATTTTAATAAATAATTTAGATAGCTTAATATTATTATACTAATCATTTAAATATTATATTTAATTGTAAACATTTAAAATCAGTATACTTTTAGTGTCAATTTTTGTAAAATTATTATTATAATATAATTTGTGATTATATTTGTTAACATTTTATGTAAGTTATTATTTATAACAAACAATGAAAATATAATATTATAAATTAATACACATTTGTATTTATGAGAACAATTTTTCAAATGAATTATAATTTTTTGAAATTTTCAAACAATAAGAAATTTGAAGTATATAAAAAATCTTAATTTTTAATTCTTACTTAATTTCAAAATTATAAATTATAAAAAATAATTTAAAAGTTTTTTTTATTATATATTTATTTGTACTTAAAATATTTATTTTATTTAATATTTACATAAATTGTAAAAATAGTATATGATTTTTTATGATATACATATATAGTATTTATCAATATATACAGTATACCGTTATATAACATATATAAATAACTGCTAAACAGTGGAAAACATTTTTTATTTCTATATTATATTGAATTCATATTTAGTCTTTTATTTATTGATATATCACTTTTAATATAACATAGATTATATAACAACACATATTTTTTACAAAAAATATATTATTATATATTTAATGATATTTAAAAATATTTGTACTAATGTATTGTATTTACATTTGCATTTAGAAGTTACAATTCCTATTCTTTAGTATAAAAATCTATTTTTAAATAATTATAATGTCTATAAATATGGTGTTCACAATATACCAATTAAATATTATTTTATTATATTCTTAATTTTACCATTTTTTAGTTATTTCGATTAATGTAAAAAAATATTTTTACACTTTTTATGAAAACTTATTATTTATTTGAAATTTTGTATATTAAAAAAATTTGACATTTACTTTAAGTTAATTTTATATAAAAACTTCTACAACAAAATTTTTAAAATGATTAAAACGTTGCAAATTTAATTTATAAAACACTATTTATAAAATAATATAATTATTATAAAATAATTATTATAAAAAATGTAAACTTAAGTTATAGAATTTTTTAGTTCAATCAAATTATTTTATTTCAAACTTAATAATTGTTAACTATATTGTTATTTACTATTAGTTAAAATGTCTAATAATTGGCAAATTAGAGAATTTATTGTAAAGTGTCTATTGATTAATATATCAACTGTTTTATTGCGAACACTCTGTTAATTGAAAAAATTCTTTACTTAACATTAATATCAAATGTTTTACCATATAATGGCATTTATGGATTAAAAGTATTGTTATAAAACAGTGGGCTATCAATCATTGACTGAGTTGTAAAAAACTATGGAAATTGATTTTTGTATTTACTATAAGAATTTTATTTAAAGCATGTATTTTCATTGTGTGTGAGTGCATGTGATAATAATTTTAGACTATTTATTAATATGAAAACTATATATTTTAAAATTTTGATACTAATTTTTTTTATTGATTTGACAAATAATTTGCTTATTTTCCAATTTTTATTGCTCTCACTCTCTATGTATGTATTTATTGTCATTTCTGTAGTCAATATCTATAAACTTATATGAAATAGACTGCAATTGCTTGAGTTCAGTGAAATAACATAAAAAGTCAATAAAATAGCACCAAATCTGAAAGCAAATAATTTTGTATTCAGTTTTGTGTATATAATGTGATCTAAAAACAGAGAAAATATTATAAAAATTATGCACAAATATTATGACCTCAATTAATATTATTTGTTTAATTCATAATATGATACAAAAATATATTGTCTCTTATATTATTATACTAAATTCATTTATTTATTATGTAACCTCTAAAGAATATAATATCTAATATTTCAAAAATAACATTAATATGACTGTTGCTGCATAAAAGTTAATACAAATAATAATTATTATACAACAAAAATTAATATGCAATAAAAATTATTTATAAATATTATAGTTTTTTTTAATTAGACACATTTTTTATATAAAACTAATTTAATACAAAACTTTTTATTGTAATTTGTTATAAAAGTACAAAAATACAAATAAAGATAAATAATTTTATATAATGTTGATTCGAAAGTTGTTTCTATAAATAATAATAATAATAATAATAATATGCAAAAGTTTTTCACATAAATTAGACAAAATGCTAAAAATTTTTGTTAACTTATGCCTTACGGGAATTTCACATATATTTTCATTATATGTAAATCTAAATACAGTATACTATGCTTATAAAATTTATTGGAGACAAACATTTGGAGTTTAATTAAAATTTTATTTGTTTTATGAAATTTCTTAAAGCAAATTGAAAGTGAAACCTGAATTTATAGTTTATATTATATTTAATATTTGATATTATATTTACTTAATATGTGATTTACTTATGAATATATGATATATTAGTGTATACAGTATAGCAGTACATATGCTTTATAAATTATATTTTTGCTTAACTTAACTCAAAATTAAGTTATATCTAAGTTATTCATTCATCTATTCAATGATATTTTCATAGTATTTGTAAAGTCAATACAATTCATAGTTATATATAACTTATTTAATAATCTTTGTTTACACATCACTTGATTTGATAGTTTCGTGAAGTGACTGAATCGCTAACATTAATCCAATTGCAAATTGAGATAGAAGTGAGACTTATATTTGTATATATAATTTATTTTAATAATTTTTTTATGTACAATACATTTTTATAATACTGCATTAAAATTGTTTTATTATAAAATCGATTTGTATATACAGGATATATAATCTCTCTCTCTCTCTCTCTCTCTCACACACACACACACACACACACACACACACACACACACACACACACACACACACACACACACACACAGACAACTGCATATAATATACTGTAATAAATAGAGAGAAAAATAAAACAAAACAAATAGTTATATTATATGATTTGTTAAAGAACTAAAAGATAGAGATATTATGATATCTCTGAGTGAATTAATAGTCATTAATTGGATTAATTACAACAATTTCTATGATTTGTTACTTCAGTGAAGAGCCGCCACAACCACAACAATATCTATACCTAAAACTGTTGGCAAAGAGGTCTCGCCGTAAGACAAATATTAAAGAAGTGTTTGTTGGGAATTGTGTATTGAAATCCATTGCATTTGATTGTATAAAACAGAAAAATGGTTTAGTGGTCATAAAGTTCAGGGCTTACTGTATATAATACAATACATTGTATAATAATAATACAAACGATGGGTCGATATTTGAGTAAAAGATATGAAAAGCCATTGGAGTCTCAAATTTATTGAACTCGTCTTTACTATCATTTGAATCACTTGACAATTACACTAACAATAGGACTGTTATCTCTAAATACACAGTCTATATGTTATCATAAAATAACATTTTAATGTAACTTTAGTATAACAAACATTGAGATAATAATTTCTAATGTAGATTATATTAAAAAATTATTTTGATTTCATTAAAGTTTATCAAAATAAGAGGAAACAGTGAATTCAAGAGTTGATCCGACAAAATGTCTTAGTGTTGATCAGTGATGGCAACAATCAGAGTGTATTGAATGACAAATTTAACGAGTTTTCTAAATGCAATCAATTGAATGTGTTTTAATGTACGAACACTTTTGTCAGTCATAGCAATGAATGAGTCGATCACTCCATATATACAAAAACTCTACTGTTTTGTGAATCCATCAGAAATTAGTATTACTTTATCCACTCTTTGTGTGTCATTTAGTACTAACTCTTAGAGATTGCAATGAAAGTCATTGCAATTGTTTGTCTCTTAATTGCAGTCTTGGGTAGCATTTGTGAAAACACATACACTTTTACTACACTTTTACTATACTTTTACTATACTTTTACT